AGAATTGTAATCCAAATTTGTCCTAAGCAAACCAAGTAATTCACTCACTCAAATTCACGACATGATAATAATTTAATGAAGTCACTTATAAGCCCATTTTTTGCAAAAATGATTACTATTATAACGAAGAAAAAAGACAAATAAGAGAATAAAGTTTCTGAATTAAAACATGTAAACCTCAAAAATTAAATTTCAAAATGTAAAATAACCAAGGTTAGGCTCAAATTTCACTTTACCTGCTAAACAAAGATGCAAAATACCAAGAAGAATAAAAAAATCTTATTTCTTTTTGGAGAAGGGTAAGTTCTATTGGTAACAACTAAAGGACTCTTTGCCAAGTAGTAGGGCATGAGTATAAAATTTTGGGGAAAAAAGTACAGATAGTTTGATCTACAAAGAGAAAGCATCTTGGTCCAACAGATTAAAGAAAAGGATTTTTTGAAATCAAGAAGAAAAGAAATTGAGCACAATGGAAGAAATTCAGTGACATCCCGACAATCCAAATAACATAAATTAAGAAAATTATACATAATTCAAGTTAAAGCATATATCTATCCATTACTCTAGGTACAATACTGTAGAATCAGACATAAATGGCTTTTCTGACTGTATAAACTGAGGGGCATATTGAACTGTGTGAATGTACTGGACCATGTTGACAAGTTTTTTTGTTTTCCTTTACTTCAGATAGTAACTTCTATCAAGTGAGAGATACAAAATATATTCCTGTTCCCTGAAATACAAAGTTAGAAAGCTAAAATAGAAAATTTAAACTTTGTGATAATTGGGAAAATCTTCACATTCTTCTTTGGAAAGTGTCTATATTTTCTATGTGTTTTTGATAAAGCACATATGAAAATTTATTTCTAAAATATATGAAGTCTTTATTCGGAAACACTGTTACAAAATAAATTTGTGCTTAAATTTGTTCCTCTTTTTCAGAGTATTTCACTGTTAGCTATCCATCTTACTGTCTCACAATTCAATTGTCCTTTTACCTCTCTGTCTGGTTAAGTACCTTTTACCAAAAAAATGAACATTGTGCATTCTCTTTGCATGTTTTAAGAGGTAACTGCAGAAATATAAAGCTTAAAGTGATATGGGTTCAAAAGGATAAGACCCAATAATAATAAACCTAACTACTCTCTTTTATAAACAAGTTCTTTTTAAAAAAATCTAGTTTTTTTTTTTTAATTTTATATATTTTTTTACATCATTTTTCATTTTTGTACAATGTATGCATTTTCATCTTGGTTATAGTCCCTGGGTGTGAGTGGGTGTGAACTTCCTACCACCCATTCATCCATGAACTATCACCATGGTCCCTTGTGCTCTTCCCACCCTTGTTTGAAAAACACCAGATGGTCTCACTTATAAACAAGTTCTTGAGAAAAAAAAAAAAAAGTGTTATAGAACTTCACCCATCAAATCAGTCTTTGGATTTTGGCTTGAAGTTGCTCCACAAGTATATTTCTATAACTTCCATCCTAACATTTGTCAACATTATGTAAAAATAATAGGCAGTTTCAGCAGTACTAGTACTACTCAGAGTATATAACCATAGTAGCTATTTTCTTACAAGAATACTATTTACTAAGCACATCATTTCTATTAGCTCATTTTATCAGCATAATAATCTTTTGAGTGAGCTTAATACTGATCTTTTATCTTTTGATCTTTTATAAAGGAAGAAACTGTAGTGTAAAAAGATTTGCTACTTGCCTTAGTTTTAACCATTATATTAAATGGAATCTTAACAATTGCACAATTTATATATTGGTATTAAATACCAAAAATATAAAAATATTTAACATTTATTATTTAATACTCCAAGGTTGTTTAAAAAAGAGCTTCTACAACCTCATTTGTCTACACACTGAATCCAGTAGAGATAATATCAAAAGTCACAATATAAATTTTAGAACTTTAAAAATAATCTGAATAATTACTAATAAAACTAAAAACAATTAAAAATTATATTGGTAAATATCAGTCCCTGCTCTTAAATTAGTATATTCTTGTCTCAAGGGCATAATGAAAATTAAAGAGCACTTATGAAAATTGAGACATATGATAGGATATTATAACACTTATAAACATTCTCAAGAGCATAAGGTTGTCCTCCCTGATCGTGCATAAACTTATTAGGCAATAAGTTTATAATGTTGAGAATCTTTCAATACCTTGAAGAAAGCATCAAACGCCTTTTGGTTCTAAAGTTATGATATTGGACAGCTTTAAATCTGACCTTCTAAAGAGATTATACCAGATGAACTTTATTATCTTCTATGATAAAGGGGCCTTCCTCAAAAAAAAAAAAAAAAGATTTTCATTCAGCTGTGCTGAACTACATTTCTCTTTCCCCTCTTTCCATGGTATAATTCAATTAGCAGTTAAGCACAGAATTTTACAGATCATCTCCCACAAGGAATCCTTATAGAAGTTCAGTAGAGGTTTCCCTAGAGGCTGCCTAGGGGCTATGGATTGTAGGGACAGAGATAATGGGATTGCAACAGATCTTCTTTTATTTGTTTGTTGTAATTTATTTTTTTGCAGGGACTTAGGGTAGGTACGTGAAGTTTTTGCATCTTTATCTCAAATTGAAAATCCTCTTTCAAATTATACACTTATATCCTTAGCTGGACAGCAAATCAGATTCCAAGGACTTTTCACACAATGCCATTGATTAGAGTTAGCTAATAGGGATTACAGTCAAGGGGCCAATATAATTTAATATTTTATTAGTAATCAAAATATAGGAGCTAAGATTATGTATATCATGTTTCTAATTGATGATGATTTACATATGGTGAACAAATTTAAAAGCAACCTGATAAATTATATGAAAAATCACCTAGAAATACAATGAAATTAAACAGCATTAAGATTTAGGATCAAGAGCAAACACATATCAAAATGGAGAAAAAACACACAGACAACCACAGAGTAAAAAATAAAAATGAAAAAAAGTCTTTGGTTAGCCAACAATCATGATTTTTATGAAGGGAATAAATAAACTAACAGCAGCTGACTATATTAATAGCAATAAAATAAGAACAAACCTTCCATTTTATTTGACATTGAACTGGCTAATTAGAGTATGATTTTTGATAGTCTCACTTGAGAATTTTGTTTAAAAGTTGAAGAAGAACTAAGAACAGAAAAGATACTAAATTATTCCTGTGAGGACAAGATAAAGAAATTGAAATATTTATCTTGGAAAAAAAAGATGATTATAGAGAAGAATACTGCCCTCTAAGGGTATTAATGATTACATTAAATTGTAATTCTACCCTACAGAGGACTGCTGGCTATGAAGGATATGTAGAAATAATGACAAGATAATTTGACCTGCTATAAGTAAGCCATTTTGAAAATAAGGACGTTTTTAAAATACTGGAGCATCCAATTGGGAGAGATTATAAGACTTTAATCATCCCTCCATGCCTTTTTGCAGGAAAAAATAAATTCCCTACTCTGGTTCCCTTATCCTATTTCATGGGTTTATTTTCTCAAATATTCACACAGGGATACTAGAAATGTAGGGCTTTCACTCTTCTTCACACCTTCAATATTTCTCTCTTTGTTCTACCTATCCTGCCAGCTTTCGGTTACTGCTAGTCCATTGTTCACCAGCCCATACAGCTATAAAAGCCTTTGAACAAGAAGAAAATAACTGTTACAAGTATTCTGCAATTTAGACATAGCACTGGCACACTATCACATTTCCCAAACACTCCATGTTGCTTACAAATATATACTCTGAGGTTTCTCAAGACACCCAAATGACTCCATTTTTTATTGGATTGTTCACTGTAACCTAACTGTGACTTTCATGTCTGTTAGATATTATTGATACTCCACTCCTATCTCATCCAGTTACATGTGACAGTCTTGTAATAACAATTAAATGCAGAATATTTCAAATTTACTCTACTCATACTTTAAAAAGTCCTACTAAACTTACCAGTCCTACTAAATCTTCTCAGTATAAGCACCTGCCACCCTGCCTGTGAGTTGCAATTTTTGACCATAAGCAGGAGGTTCTCATAACACCTCCGAGAAGGGGTGTCCTTTAACCAGGGATAAATGGGTAGATAAATTGGGTTTTGTTTATTCCAAGTGAGATAATTCAAAATTTACCCAGATCTTCCACAGGATCAAGCCCCAGTTGCCCACAATGACTCATTAATTATACCTTGTCAGTGTCCTTCTCCCTGCCTCAGTCTCATTTTTTTTTCCTCAATAGACTAATAACATAAATCTTTACTTCTTGGTATCCCTCCAGGTGAACCCATGCCAAGATAAGCTATCTCCCTAACTTTAAACATGCATTTTCCAAGGAACTTCCACTATCTTTTAAATAACATTTATAAAATACATTCCACATTCACATTAACATTTCATAAAATGCAAATAATCCTTGTCACTATGCAGAGTGACCACAGCAAATGGCACACTCATACCATTGGGAGAATGTGGTATCCTATGTACCCCTAAGTGGACAACACCCAGACCGGTACGGTCTGTAGGACCAAACTCCAAATCATATTTCTTAGGCGAACACTGTGATACTATGATCTAGTATGAAAGGGTTTGGTGACAAAAATACTTTGTTTTACACATGTTTTCCAACCAGTTCCAGCACAGTGATAAAAAAGCATCATTTCCTCTCTGTTCATGAAAAGAAATCAAATGACTTTATTTTTCTTTGGCTCCAGATCATGCTATGTGACACCTCTATGAATCCTGCACACAATGAATCCTATAATTTCTGCACACAGAGTGGTTAGATATGTTCATTTGCGTAAGTTATAACCAAATACGTAAGTAAAAGTTTGTGACAGTTAATCTGACTTTGGGGATACGTATGATTTTCTAAAGTTCTGATGGATTACAGCATTAACATTACAGCATAGAAATAAAACATTTCCTGCAATTTTTCCAGACATAACAGATGGTGAAGAGTACTGTAAAAATTCTATGGAAGGCAAACTTACCCGAATCATCATGACTGAACATCTGATATCATGAATTGTATCGTAGATCTTCTTTGAGATGTCCACAAATTGATTATCATCGAACACTTCCAATGAGTTTTTACTTAAAGCTTCCAATGCAACATTCACTTGTGTTACAAATTCAGGAATTGCTGTTAAAATAAATAACAAAGAAAAGATTGTCATTTTAGATTTTTGGAGTTTCCAGGTATCAAGAGAATCATAACTATAAAAAAAATTTGATTATTGGACTTCTAATTATTTTTCTTTAAATGTAGAGAGATGTTACAGAGAGGGAACTTCATAAAAAGGGGAGTTTCCATATGACCTGCCCAAGCTAATGAAGGCTGGAACTGAGCAGTGAGGGGAAGGTAGAGAGGACTTGGAAGAAGGCGTGAAAGAGAACTTAGAGGAGAAACAGGGAGACATGAGGAAAGAGCTTGTGCTCCCTTCTCAGCTTTGGACTTGCACCAGAGAATTGGGGGACATGAAGGAAACATGTAGAGTGGAGATATGCAAAGACACTTGGAAGAGACATGGATGTGGACTCATAAGGAGGTTGACAGTGGCATCCTTTAACTTGATTGCAGTTTGTTTTGCTCCTTTAAACCCAGACTTGCCTGATCCTTCTGCCCTTTCCTGTGGTTCCTGCCAGGAGGTGCCTAATACTTGTGGCAAGTTGTTTTAGCTATCCTGCTTTTGGCCAACCCTTTTTAGTTGGGGTATTTACCCATGTGTGGGGATGGGCAACTTCAGGTGTTTCATTGGGGAATATTATCCTTCTCTTCTTTCTCTGTGTACACTATTCCATTAAAGTTCTTTCACACTAAGACTTTGCTTTGTCTCTACGCGTGGATGGTGGGACCCATTTAGAGCATGTAAATGTGGGGATTCGGAGGTACCCCTCAGCCTGCACATTAACAAAGATACAAAACATTTGGCTGGATAATCTTGGATCTATGAAAAGCAAAAGAAATCAAAAACAGTGAAAGATTTTTATAGAAAGGTTTTAAAATATTATCTATCTTCATAATATCATTTTTAATTTTACCAAGACTGGGACTATACCATCATTTCTCATCCTACTGATTAAATGTCCCAAGAAACTTTTAAAAATGATATGAATAACAGAAAAAAAAACCTATTAGGTGGCAAGATATTTTCCCTACCATCAAAGGGATTAATGAAAATTAAATTAGCAATCACAGAAAAATGTTTCTAAAACTGACATAACATTGAATGAGTGTAGGTATACATCTATTAACCAAGCCAATCCTTTGATTTTTTTTAAATTAAGATTTCTAAATAGTCTCAATTAAAATACATCTCCAAGTTTACTTTTAATGTTAATGATAGTAACATTTATTAACTTTTCTCTAGATTTAAGGCACTATTCTAAGTGTCTCGTGTGATTTAAATCTTAAAATAATCCTAGTATACATCCAAGGTTAATACTTAGTTGAACCTGAGGTTAATACTTAGTTGAATAATGAAGTCACAGAGAAATCAAGAATCGTGCCCAGAGTCATTCTTCTAACACATAGCAGAACAGATTTTGAACTCACTCTGGAAAGTAGTCTATACTCTTTAACATACTATACTATACTGAAGAAGCTTGTGCCCATGTGAAGACAAAGTATAAAAACAGATAAATTTTTAGAGTAATTTGTTATTTGAATCTAAACTTGGGAGACAAAAGTATTTTATCTGGTACAAATATTGGTAAATAACTTTTATTTCCTATGTCCAATTCTCTATCTGTTTACGTGGCATCGATCTTTTGCACCATGACTTACCACTTTTTTTTTCTTACTATATATCAAAATTTTGCCTCTGTCATAAATATCATTTTTACCTGCCACATTCTTGATATGAGAAAATGTTGGTAATATAACTGGGCACTCATATTTTATCTAATCCCCTCTTAACTTATTAAAAAAATCTCACTTATACCCTATTTCTTAGCCCCAATAATCATTAAAATCATCCACTATGCTCTTTTCCTCTATCATTCTCTAGATATACTGTGCAATAGAAAGTGTCACTGGGACACGTGCAGCTATTAGAAATTAAATTCATCAAAATTAAATTTAAAATTCAGTTTCTCATTCACACCATATTTCAAGAGTTGAATTGATTACTGTTTTGGAGAATGGGCTGTAGAACATTTCTGCCATTACTTGAACATTTGGTAATCCTCTAGAGTGAAATTACATCTAATTACTGCCTCACTTTCAGTGATGGGAGTAACACACATTCTTGCCTAAGAAAATAGTCCAAAACCACAATTCCAATCTACATAGATGTGACTCCCAGAGTATATCTCTAATCCAGATATTTTTTTGTCTTAAACTGTTTAACTATATGTCCAACAGCCCACTGCAAAATTCTATCTTTCATATTCCCTCATATGTATGCTATCTAAACCTAAGCATATCCTTTTATACTTAGAAAAATCTCATTTTTTCCTAAAGTTTTAGTGTTTGTCTTGGTTTAATTATGTCTGTATCTTTGTTTTGTTTCTATATATTCCACAAGAGTGAAATCATTGTTATTTGTTGTTCTTTCTGACATACTCTGCTAAAAATAATCCCCTCTAATTCTAACCATGTTATCACAAATGATATATTTTATAACTAATACCCTATTTTGTAGGTATGCTTCTCAATCCACTCATCTGCCATTGGGCACTTAAATTGTTTTCATAACTTTCCTATTGTAGATAGTGTTGCAATGAACATGGAATGCATATCTCCCTTTAAATTCATGCTTTTACATTCTTTGGGTAGATATCTAAGAGTGGAATTGATAGATTACATGGTAGATTTATTTATAGTATTTTGAGAAACCTATATATTCTTTTTCCATAGGGACTGGGACAGACTACATTCCCACCAGGTTTTATTATTTATTTATTTTTTTCATTTAAATTTTATTTTTATATTCCCCTTACAATTACAACCCTCTTATTTTGACCCCAAGCCCTCCTTTCCCTGACCCCCACCCCTCATAGAGTGTCTCTGGTTCATAGTTGTTTGTTGATTTTGATATTTTCTTTCTTATAGCTATTCTTTTTCCTGGCCCCTTATTTAAGTTTTCTAGATTCCTGCTATGAGTGAGACCATCCGGTAGTTTTCTTTTTCTTTCTGGCTTATTTCGCTGAGCATGATCCCTTCTAGCGCCATCCATGTTGCTGCAAATTGCATGTGTTTATCTTTTTTGAATGCTGAGTAATATTCATGGTGTATACGTACCACATCTTCTTGATCCAGTCATCTATTTTTGGGCATTTGGGTTGTTTCCAAAGCTTAGCTATTGTAAATAGTGCTGCTATAAACATAGGGGTGCAGGTAAGGAACTCTCCTGCACTGTTGGTGGGAGTTCAAACTGGTCCAACCACTATGGAGAGCTGTGTGGAGATTTCTTGAACTACTAAATATAGAGCTTCCATATGATCCAGCAATTCCACTCCTAGGTATTTACCCAAAGGACACAGAAACATCAATCCCACCAGGTTATAAATCCACTGCAAATTCTACTCTTGCTGCATCTAATTATCATTTTCTCCTGCTAGAGTGCTCATCATGGGTCTTCTCTTGCCTAATTTCTTTTCATCATTCAGACTTATTTTATGTATAATCTTAGCAATGAAATATCTTAGCATTAAACACAGTGCCATCTACCACAACATCATTTCTCAGTAGGTTGTTTTATGGATGAATCATGTCACTACATTGTTTATAGTTGTTGAATGGTTTCTTGAAGTTTTTCCTGTTGTGTCTCAAGTGTCTTTTCTGGCACATAGTAGTTATATAATTGAATGAACTGAGGGACTGAATTAATAAATGCATGTACTTGCAAAAGAATGAAGCTTGACCACTACCTCACACCATACACAAAAATCAACTCAAAATGGATTAAAGAACTAGACATAAGACCTGAAACCATAAAATACATAGAAGGAAATATAGGCGAAACACTACGGGATTTGCACATCAAAGACATCTTTACAGACACATCACCCAAAGCAGTGATAGTGAAGGCAAAGATAAACAGCTGGGACTACATCAAATTAAAGAGCTTCTGCACAGCAAAAGAGACAATAACAAAAACAAAGAGAAACCCCACCAACTGGGAGAACATTTTTGCACCCAACACTAATGATAAAGGACTGATCACAAAAATCTGCAAAGAGCTGATGAGACTCAACAACAACAAAGAAAATAATCCAGTCAAAAAATGGGCAGAAGAGCTAAAAAGAAACTTCTCTGAAGAGGAAATGCAAATGGCCAACAGGCATATGAAAAAATGTTCAACATCACTTGTCATCAGGGAAATGCAAATCAAAACTACCATGAGATACCATCTTACACCAGTGAGAATGGCACATATTAAAAAAACTAGCAACAACAAATGTTGGCGAGGGTGTGGAGAAAAAGGAACTCTCCTGCACTGTTGGTGGGAGTGCAAACTGGTCCAACCACTGTGGAGAGCTGTGTGGAGATTTCTGGACCTACTAAACATAGAGCTTCCATATGATCCAGCAATTCCACTCCTAGGTATTTACCCAAAGGACACAGAAACATCCATTCCAAAGAGCACCTGCACCCCTATGTTTATAGCAGCACTGTTTACAATAGCTAAGCTTTGGAAACAACCCAAATGCCCAAAAATTGATGACTGGATCAAGAAGATGTGGTACATATATACCATGGACTATTACTCAGCATTCAAAAAAGATAAACACATGCAATTTGCAGCAACATGGATGGCGCTGGAAGGGATCATGCTCAGCGAAATAAGCCAAAAAGAAAAAGAAAAATACCGGATGGTCTCACTCATAGCAGGAATCTAGAAAACTTAAATAAGGGACCAGGAAAATGAATATAAGAAAGTGAAAATCAAAATCAACAAAAAACTATGAACCAGAGACACTTTTTGGGGGGTGGGGGGCGGGAGGGGAAGGATTGGGGTCAGAATGGGGCGTTTGCAATTGTATGGGGGAATATAAAAATAAAATTTATTATTTAAAAAAAAAATAAATGCATGTACTATGCAAATGGCAGACCAAAAATAGATACAATGCAACAAATTCAGCATGTATTTCAGTGTGATTTAGGTTTTGTTCACTCTCAGAAAATTCCAAAACATG